GCTGGCTCCCCATAACTACGGAGTAATGTGAGTAAGTATGTCCATAATGGGCGGGAACCATAATTCCGCCCACCTAACTGTTCCTTGAAAGCGGCCCAAGTCGTTGTTTTTTAACGGAAGATGGAAAAGCGTACATTAGAACAACTGAAAGAATTAATGGTAAATTTACGGTTTGTTAGGCATCAGGTCAATTGTGTTTTTTTTTAATTATTAAATCAAAAGCCGATGTGACAAACAATATAATAATATAATACATGAACTGGCACTTACCTGGATCAATACAGGAGACGAGAGCAGTACATCATTTACGGAACTAAGCAATGCAGAAGCACTGAGCTCAACCGGATCATGACCCCAGACGGTAATCAAAAAGCGTGAACAGTCGATAAAACAATCTGGTAGTTGAACCACTCGCGTTCCTCTGGTCAACAACATCACCGGAAGAACCGAATTACGAGATGGAATGACTTCCTTTGAGTGCGATGAACAGCCATTTGCCAAAAAGGTCACATACAATCGAAACCATGGAGAGTTGGCTTCTGGGACCGGTGGTCCAATGTGAGCAGGCCAGAGAGCACTGAAAGCCTGGCGGTCTTCATATGTTAGAGGGCTGACGCTAATAACTAAATTATAGTTCTTCTGTAAGATGCGTACTCTTGTCTGTGGCTCTAGGTTCAACAATGAGCCACCACGAACTAAATCGATTCCATGAAAATCAGTCTCAGAGCGATTTGCTTGGTCACGCAAGAAATGCAAGGCCTCCCGCAGATTTGTTGCATGTTCAAAATACAGCTTCGCTTCACCTTCATCGATACTAGTCAAGTTATCTAGTTCGGCAAGAAACGACTCCAAGGAGTCGTCGCAAAGTTTTCCCACTTCGAACATTGTTACTGCATGTGGTTTGAGGCCTGCTGACAAGTTACCCATCATTAGATAGGCAGTTATGGTTGAATCAAAAATGAGAGCTAATTTTTTCGAGTTCTGCGATGCGTTTTGAACGGGAACTGCTCTAGGGAAGGCCCCATTGCCATCGTCCGATTTGAGGAAGTCCGACTGATTCTTCATTTCAATATTCTCCCGACCGTTTAACACCGCAGCTGACAAATTGTCGGAACGTTTGTAAGCAAATCCTAAACGACAAAACAGTGATGCGGCTTGTGCCACAAGATTCACATCAATCTGCAAGCAATCGGCCAGCTCCTCAATAGTAGTTTTCTCGTCTGCACTGACAAAAATTTTGTACAGAAGATTCTCCCTATTATCCCCGTTAACACGATTCATAACAAAACCTTCAAGCGTAGGGACGCATATCCGATCACTGCCATTTATAGGCACATCAATGTAAACTAGACCTCGTTGGAACAAGCGCTTTAAAACTGTTGGATCTGCGTCCTTCACTTCAATCCCCAAGGGATGATCGGAAATTGGATGTTGCTCCATATCAATGATGCGATCGATGAGTTCGTGTTCAGCATTCGACACCTGTTCAATGTCCTCCATCAAGACAGAACCGATGCGAATAATGTACCACGGTTCAAATGTGATTGTATCTACTGGTTGCTGTGGGAGAATATCATAGAGGATCTCATACAGGGTATTACTATGATCAGGGCCAGCGGTGGTGAGAAAACTTTTGTATGTGTTCATAACCTCAATGTACTGGTTTCTGCCGATCCCAAGAAGACGAAGACAATCAGCTGCAGTGAAATTTGGTAAACAATCGTAAGAACGCTCCGCTCGAACTACATACACAAGCATGTCGCGATAGTAAACAAACGGAGTGACACGCAAACCGGGAACAATTTTATCTTGCAAATGGTATGGATAAAGCAAATGTTCCCTCCGACTGTATTCGATAAGTCTTTCATAGTATTTCTTTTCACGACGCAGTATCTAAACAAAGATAAGAACAACAATGAGTGTCTGGTCAACTGTGACAGTATACCTGCTGCACAAGATTGCCATCGTATCTCAACTGGTTTTGCAAGCTGAATGTGACCACGTGGTGTTCATATTCTTTAGGATCATCGCGCAGCTGGGAACGGAGTTTTTGAGGAAGGTGCGACCATGTAAAATTAGCAGCAATGCATTCCTCCAAATTCATATTCGTGAAACTTGACGTCACATAACCGTTAGATTTATAGAAACATTTATCTGTAAAAAAATATAACAGGAATGTAATGTCACATCGGGAAACTACATAACTACATATCCAGGTGTCACATAAGGATAACAACAAAACTTTTATTTCAGAACTAAGTATCTTATTCCAAGTCTTTCAGAACATTGAAACCATTCCATACGAATGGAGTTAGGCGGATGTTGTACCTGTTCTCAAAAAGCGCCCCCGCCACGATCGATTGAAACAATGGGGCATCAGTCTCACTTCCGTTGCCTCCGAGGTGATGTCACCGCTGATCCTTCACAGGCTCAGTTGGATGATAGAGCATTATATCCATGAAGAACAAATTGGATTCCACTCTGGTCAGAGCTGCGTTGACCATACATATTTACACTACGTCAGATTCTCCAGCAACGTGGAACGTTCGGAGGCCAAACATTGTTATCTAATTGGACATACGTGCTGCGTTTGACTTAACTGACATAGGAGCTTGAGAGTAGTGAGCTTGCATTAGCCCCTTCGACTGTTAAGAAGCACCAGGCACTCTTGACATAGAAGCTCTTTGAATTTGTCTGTCAGGAATCGGTAGGCTTGAGAAGTAAACCTTCTTAAAGCCGTCTACCCAAGGAAATGAGGCCGAGTCAAAGTCTTTGATCGTCCTTTCATTCATCATCATAGGAGTCCGACAAGGGTGCCCGGCTTCGCCCTCCCCCTTTATTTTGCAACAAACAAAATCCTAAGTAGCGCTCTAGAAAACTGTTGGATTTCCGGTGTGGAGCTGCTGCCACATGATCGACTCCGTGATCTGGAATATGCAGACGGCATCGTTATACTATCTGACTCTTCCCAAGAAGCTCGAAACGTTTCGTGTAAGTTAGCGTTCTCCGTTAGGAAGTTAGGAAGGAACTTTATTCCATCGAAATGTAAGACCTGAGTGTAAGAATCGCAAAAGGAAAAACTTATCCTCAAACTCATGAGCGACCAGTTGGAAATCGTCGACCATTTCACATATCTTGGGAGTTACTTTAGCTCAATTTCAGTTCACTCTTTCAAAAATTAACCATGCACTATTGTGGGCTGGTCTTGGTTGCTGCATTTTGGCTACCCATTCGGATAAAAGAGCAGACTGAAGATTGGAATGCTGAGAGAAAATTCAAGAGGAAGATTGACAGTTCATATAGACTGAGGTTGAACGAAAACTGAGTAGATGCACAAGCGCCACTTTTTGTGACACTGCCATATCACACACTGTTTCTAACCACAGGTAACGATCATACTGAGGTTCCCAGCCAGGGAGCCTAACGGCACCTGGGGACCCGGTGGTTAGGGTATACATACCCTCATGCCAGGTCTCAGCTAGAGCGCACTCGACATTTTCCGATCCAACGCCGGCCTCGACAAACATCGCTCGCCTTGGATACCTATTCGGTAGCACACGCAGCACATATCTCAACCAACGTCATCTATGGAGGTCAATCATTTGCTCCAGTGGGTGACCGCATTATCTAAAACTCTGCGCCTAACCTCAGCATTGCTCGTTCGGCTGATTCACCAGATTCGTGCAATGCTGCGTGGACAGCGGTGTTCGAACACCGACAGTCTTTATCCTGTTTCCTTAATGGCGAATTTTCTGTGCCGTATAGCGGAACTGGCCGAACTGTTGAAGCCTACACTAGACCCTTAACAAGACAGCCGGATGTCGCGACGGCGCCACAGATGTCTCAAGTTGGCAAATGCCAATCGAGCTCAGCCGGATGTCGCGACGGCGCCACAGATGTCTCAAGTTGGCAAATGCCAACCGACCCTTCTGTATACGAGCTGACACTTCATCCGTGATGCGTCCACCGGGTGAGATATAGCTACCCAAATAGCAAAATTTATCTACTTCCTCTATTACTTCCCCAGTTAGGGTGAGACTGGGTGTAGGGCCAAGCCAGTCTTGAAGTAACATTTTACACTTTGAAGGTGCAAAACGCATACCGAACATGGACACACTAGCACTCAAACTGTCCAAAAAAGCTTGCAACTTAACTGAATCTTTGCTTAGTAGCACAATGCCGTCTGCATACTCTAGATTAGACAGCCTGCTAACTGGGAGCAAATCGATGCCACTATCTTCGCCCGAGGATAGAGCTGTTTCAATAATTAAATCTATAACAAATTTAAGTAGAAAAGGAGAGAGAGGGCAACCCTGTCGAACACTATTTTCCGTGATGAACTCAGACAAAAAGATGCCGTAAGCTCGAACTCGATTCCGGCTATTAGTATAAAGGGATTGTAATATTGAAATAAACTTCTCGGACACCCTTCAGGGAAATGTAGCACCAGAGTTTAGAGCGGTCGACTGCGTCAAGATCCGCTTTCGAATCGAAGAAAACAGAGATGGTAGATCTACGAAAAGAACGTCGATGCTCCAGAGTTTGGCAAAAAGTGAAGATGTGGTCGATACAATCTCGACCAGGTCTAAAGCCGGCCTGGTTCTCACGCCTGCACCGTTCATGTGCGGCAGGCAATCGACGGAGTATGATACCAGCGAGAAGATTAGAGGTAGTTGCGTGACCAATGACGGTGAAGCAGCAAAAGAGATAACCGCCCGCATTTCAAAGGCTCGAACAGCATACGCAGGACTGAAACACCTTTGGCATAGACGCGACGTTTCACTGAAGTTGAAAGGTCGTGTACATTGCGTTAGCGTTCGTTCAGTGTTGCTTTATGGCCGTGAGACCTTGAATTCCCGAGTAGAAGATATCCGTCGACTAGAAGTTTTCGGTTGTCTGTGTTTACGTAATTTAGCCCATGTGAGATGGAGCGAACGGGTTAGTAATCCTGAGGTAAGTCGTAGTATCCTTGGGAGTTTATCGAGGATAAACCTGTTAGCACACCGAGTTCATATTACTAGGCTTCACTGGCTAGGTATTGCGTATACCCAACTGTCGTCTGCCGCACCGCGCTTTATTCGCTGTAGCTAATCCAGGTTGGAGGAAACCCCGTGGAGGTCAACAGATCACGCGGAGACGAGGCATGAAAAAATGCACAGAGCTATTAGGTAGAGTAGGTGTCTCGCGCCCTCCAGGTTGGGGTCCGAAAGCCTCCGCAACTAGTTGGTTGGAGACACTGAAGGATGTGGCAGAGAACCCACAGCAGCGGTGTTGTAATTACTTATCAGGCCAGAATCCTTCAAACGATATGTATGCGTAATCAGATTGTGTACTGTTTTCCGTTCAGTTTCAGTTTGTACAACCAATAACACTTTCGTGCGCCGGTTTCTGTCGCCGTAGTTGGCCTCCCATTTGGATGAACATTAAGAGAAAGACGGGAAAGGTTGAATGTAGGATCAAAGAGAAAATTTAGAATTTCAGTGGACTAGTGTTGCAGAGAAACTGACAAGAAGCTCGAACGCCACTGTTTACAAAACTCAGCCACATTACTCAGTGTCTCTAATCACCGATTACGATCATAGCGAGGTCACTAGCCAGGGAGCCTAACGGCACCTAGGGACACAGTGGTTAGGGTTTTCATACCCGCAGTCCGGGTATTAGCTTGACCGCCACCTGGGAGCCATTGTGTTCGCCCGAAGATAGGGCTGTTTCAAGAATTAAACCTATAGGAAATTTAAGTAGGAACGAAGAGAGAGAGCAACCCTGATGAACACCACTTTCCGTGGTGAACTCGGGAGAAAAAGTGCCGTAAGCTCATACTTCGGCTATTAGTATAAGGGGAATGTAATATTGAAATAAACTGTTCGGGCATACTTTTCCAAGAAAGGCAGCGCCAGGATTTAAAGCGGTCGACTGAGATGAAAGCCGCTTTCAGATCAAGGAAGACAAAGATGTGGTTTCCACAAGAGGATCTGCCAGCTTTCTTGTAAATCGGTATGGTCACCGATTCACACCATTCAGTTGGAACCTGTTCTCTCTCCCACACTGAGCCCAGGAGTTTTGTTAACTCCAGGACCAAGGCTGAGCCTTCATTCTTAAAACCGATGAGGACAGCCCGTCTGGGCCGGAGGCCTTATGCCTTTTGAGGTAGGCTTTTCCCGGGAAACCTCCATTTCAGATGGAGGGCTGGCATCAACTGGGAGTATTTGCCCAGTAGAGGTGGAGGGTGATAGTTCAGATGTCGAAGGGGGCCAGTTGAACTGAGCCTCGGAATGTTCAACTCAACGGTCAAGATGGCGTTGCTGATGGTGAATACTGTGCCATCGGATTCCTTAATTACCTCACGCCTAATTTCCTAGGACCCGTATTCCTAATTAGACGGAAAAGATTGCGACTATTACCAGTAGCCGCAGCTTTCTCTATCCCTCTACACTTTCCTATCCACCAATTCTCGCGGTCATTCCTCAGACTCTTGATGAGATGGCGTTTGAGGGATTTGAGCGCTGTCATATGTCGAATCCGGAGGGAGGGTTCTGCGGGCGTCCAGCAGGGCAGCCTAGGTCGACGAGATTCATCGTTTGTGTTTGGAGCTTGCGGTAGGGTCAGGCGTTGCTGTTATTCATATTTGCATAGCTTCCTTGATTTCCTTCCACTGTTCATCGAGTCCTTCAGCCGGTGATTGCGCTGACAGACGATCGGAGAGTTCCGCTTTGAAAGACGATTTGCAGCAATCACTGACGCCATATCGCGGTTATCCGTTGTCGGTGGCTTTCTTGCGGTTGTTTGCCAGGTGTAAGAAGAATTTGGCTCATAGCAAAGCGTGATCC